ATTCCTGCTATGACATTGCTATATAATTGTTAGTGTTTATAACCAAACAGGAATTCGGTTCCACAAGTAAACTCTTCCCAATGCAAACAATTTTAATGAAATTCACTGTAATTTTCATTTGATATTTCTATATAAGCAGATCTGCCAAAGATCCTCATCTCCTATTAACTCATACTATTGTCTTATTTCAAAGAAAAGTCAGGAAAAATATGGATATTATTTTTTTGGCCAAAGTGGCTTGATATATACAAACTGGTATTGCTTGAAAATAGGGTGCACGGTCTCTATATTTTCAAATGCACACAAATTAATTTCCAGGAAGAAAAACAAGTCAATAGATATCTGTTCTTCTGAGAAATTAAGTCACAAAGAAAAGAGATTGCAGTGCAAGTTTCTTCTGCTCTTTCCCCTAAACTCTTCTAGCTACTCATTTATTTGTACTTTTGCTAGAAAACTAGGTTAGTTAAAATAAAGAAATATAAACTGAGAAATAAACTATAACATATTTTCTATGTGGGAGAGAATGTAGGGTATTTGTATGGACAGAAGTTTTCAAAATCACTCTACTCTTCCCCTTCCCTGGAGACAGAAAATGAGCAAGGATCTGTGGGTTAACAGAGAGCAGTCAGAAAGCCTCACTGCCAGGAACATGATGAATTACTACTGTTCTATACTGCAGAAAGTCAATAAAGTCATTGCTACACACATACACATAATTCAGAACTGATGTCATCAGTAAATTTAGCAACCATGAAAATGCTCCCATTCAAAACTGTATCCTGTAAAGGCAGATGCCTAATTCTTAGAGTTGGGAAACAAAGAATCAAACAGTTAAAAACCAGTTATCTGACTTAGAACTATTCCAGTGATTACTGCAATGTATTACAGACAGATTCCTCTGAACAAAGCTGAAGGTAAATCTAAGCTCTTATCTATTTACAGGAAAGGATATTTCAACTGAATCAAAGGGTGAAAAAATAATCACAGTGAGGTTGTTTAAGCAGTGAAAGAATTTACTAAGAAAGGCTGCAGAATCTGTATCCTTGGAGATGTCCAGAACTTTGAGTTCTGCTTTGAGTAGAAGGTTCAACTTTTTTATTCTGTAGGTACATAACATAGTTGTGTATTACTATCATATCCTCCAATATACATAAAACGTGTCACCCATCTAAGTGTTTTATTTTTGGTGTTAAACAATCTCCTCCTTGCAGTATTACATAAACATTTTTGTTCTTTGAATCCAGCAACCACCAAAAAACTCCAAAACAACCTCCCCTCATGGCAGACTATTTTTTGTTAACTCTCTGAAATGGTCTAGTGTAAGGTCACATGAGCAAGAGGTCTGGCACAAGGGTCAGAGAGAAAAATGCAGCTGAGCAACCATCAGCTTCAGACCTCTGGAGCTGTAGAATGGATTAGGTGGTTTGAATGACCAATTTCTTTGAGTGGGGGGTAGGGGGCAGAGTGGAATAGAGGAGGAGGCTGGAAAAAGGGCTCCTATGTACAGGCTCTTACTTGGCCCTAGTGAAGAGGGCCAAAGTAAAAAACTAAAAAGTAGACATAAAGTTAACATTTTCAGTTCCAACTCTGGAACATATTGCCTGATTAAGTTTGCTATCTAATCATCTACGTACTTCTAGCAGTAGAATCCTGAACATCTTTAATTCTCCAGAATCTGTGCTTTTAGTAAAAAAGAAAACACGGAGAACAGAACTCATTAACTATATATTTGACTTTGCACATTTAAGTACTTTGGAGACTCGGTATTTTTGAAGTTGTTTCAACAAATGTTATCTAGATGTGTATCTGGATGAAGGAGGTCAGACTTAATTAGTTAAAACTATTCTGTTTGCTAGCACAGATGCACAGCAACAACTTCAACTCACATTTAACAAATTCACATTTATAATTTCCCTAACCATTTCTTTTTCACTGCCATGACCAGAAAGAGTTCCTCCATAGGTCAGACTTGCCCTAGTACAGACAGATAATGTATTTTATCTTAGTTGATCTGACAGATGAACTTTTGGTGAATCTGATCCAAACAAAAGAAAGTAAATTTCTGTCTTAGGCATTGACTAGGTAGCAGTAACTTCCTTATCTAGAACTACTGTCTGTCAACATTAACTTTCAATATTGAAAGCATCATGTATAGAAGGAAGACAAAGACTGTATACAGTAAAGTTATTGAGAAGAACATCCACTTCAGCACATTTTTAGTACAAGGTATGGCTGCATGTAATATTCTGAAGCCACAGTACTCTGTTAAGAAATGTTCTCAGAGAGAACACAATCATCCAAATTCCCCAACTTCCCTCTCAATATTCCTAACAAAATTATTCCTCTGTGAACTGCATGGGACACTTTTTAGTTAAAAGCAAACTTCAAAGGGACATCATGTGACATACTACCCATAATTACAGAGATCTGATTATTTACTTGAGTGTTAAATAAATTGCATTGTTACTGAATTATGCTATTTAAAAAAAATCACACCTGGTAAAGATAATGAATATGAACCATTTTTACATAACACATTAGAAATAAGGAGCACAGTACAATTTGATTTTTACAAATAAATGGATTTTACAGAACACATCAAAAGACAGAAAAAGCTGGGGGTTTTGAGAAATAGCTACCAGTAAACTAAAACTGTAATTCATTTATGCAAGTTTTGATATGACTTACACTTACCCCACTGAGATGTCAAAGAATTCTAAGTAGTTCTCTATTTTTATCCATTGAGTTAAAAACCAAGAGATGAGACTGCTCCTTTCAAACTATTCATATTAAGAGCCTCTGGCAGAACAAGCAGGCAGCCAATTGCACTTTAATTAGTGAAATGAAAAGAAGAAAAAAATAACCCTGAAAAATGAAACTAAATTGGGTCACACAAAAGTAGCCTAAAGCATTAAAAGCATTTCAAGTTATTCTAGTTCCAGTAATTACTGAGAGTTTTGTAAACTATTTTGAGCTGTAAAAAGTAAGTCTGAACAAGTATGTTATCTTATTTCTTCCTG